TGAAAATATAATCACATTAATTATAGCTTAGTGTATCTCTAAGGAGCTAAGGAACAATTTCACCGAATTTCAGCATTCATCCCCACAGATGTCCCTTAATTCATTCTGTATTTGAACAGAGATATCCTACGCAACATCCTTTCCCCTACACCAACCCCTACCCAAGTGGTTGGCTAAACTTCTCTCAAAGACATATGGTGAAAGGAAACCTACAACCTCCCAAAGCATCCCCTTCTGCTTTGGGGCAGCTCTAATTGTTAATTTTTCCTTATACTGAATCTACATGTGCCTTCCTGAAACTTCTACCCATTGGTTCCTAGTTCTGCCCTCTTTCATATAATAATAACAATAATAATAATAGCTGGCATTTATATACTGCTTTAAGGATTGTAAAGTGCTATGTTATCTTATTTGATCTCCACCACAATCCTGGAGGTATTATCTCTGTTTTACAGATAAGGAAACTATGACATAAAGGTTAAGTGACTTGCCCAGGGTCACACAGTGAGTAATCCTCTGACCTTCACATACTTGAAGAAAGCTATTGGTTGCTCTCCTCCCCACCTATGCCCCTCTTACCAAGTCTTCTTCAGGACAATCATTCCAGTTTCATTCAACTGATCTTTTTCTGCCATAGTCCTTCCTTTTAGCCTCCTCACCATCAGGACCACAGATTTATTAGAGTTGGGAGGGACCATGGAGATCATCAAATTTAACATTTTACAGGTGAAGAAATTGAGGCCCCGAGACGCTTAGTAACTTATTCAAAGTCGTGTCAGTAGAAAATCAAACCAGGACACAAATGCCAGGTCTCTTCCTGGTTTCTCTCATTTGAATGCCCTATGGCTTGTTAACGTTATTGCTAAAATGTTGTACTCAGAATTGAACACGAACGTAGTCTGATAGCAGGTCCTTTGTTTTGGACATTATCTTCTCCACTAATAGCAGTTGTCCCCACCAAGCTGTAGATTCAGCTCAACAGAGCTTTTATGGGAGGGGAGAGGGCTGTGGGGGAGGAAGGGAGGGGAGGGTGAGGCAGAAGTAGGAATAAGAACCAGAATAAGGCCAAGGCACAAAAAATATTACCTTATCCTCCTCCCATCCCAGAACCTCATTCAGCCTCAATTCTACCAGTGCTTAGCACAATGCCTGGCAGATAGTAGGAGCTTAATATTGATTGATTGATTGATTTCCAGCTTAGGGCACATAGTCCCAGTTCATCTGAGTCTCTCTGTGTTTTGAAACCCTACTCACTGGGCCAATTGTTGTGAGGCAGTCCTCTGGCATAAGGGAATCCCTTCTGCGAGGACGTAGGTCTCCCCTATTGACCCTTGCTTTCTACAACTGGGTTCACAGTGCCCTACTCCCCCATGCAGTGCATCTGTCAATACGTTAAACTCGTCTTGGTAGCTCGTTTATGTCTAAGAAGAGGCCTGAGTGCCAACCAGGGATGTTGAGGAAAACCATTTCTTAATGATTTTGTGTACTGAAAATAACATGAAAAACAATGGGAGTAAGTTCAATACAAAACTTTATTGCAAGCTGTGGGGAAGAGAAGAAAAGGAAGAGGAGTAGGGGACCCAATATACAACTCAGGTGTACACATTAACATAGAGTATAACTCACATAAGGGCAGCACTACACTGGGGTGCACCGAGACACAGTTCATTCAGCAGGAAGTGGGGTGCTCCAGTAGGAAGGGGTGCTCCAAAGAGCTCTTAAACTTTGATTTTGGATGGCATCCATGAAAGTGGCCCCATTGCTTAGCAGGGGTCAGGGCAAAATATTATTTTGGGGGGATTGTCATCAGGGAGAAAAACAAGCTGGTGGTAGACGAAATATTATTTGAGGGACTTAGCTGTACCTTCTTTTTTTTTCTTTTGCAAGGCAATTGGGGTTAAGTGACTTGCCCAAGGTCACACAGCTATTAAGTATCAAGTGTTTGGCCTGAGATCAAATTTGAACTCAAGTCCTCCTGATTCCAAGGCCAGTGCTCTATCCACTGCGCCACCTAGCTGCCCCTGTACCAACTTTCAAACAGTATTATTGTCAATATTTTTCCATGAGTATGTTCTATAAACTTACAGCCTCTCTTAAGGGGAGACTGTCATGATGACCTCAAAACTATTCACGCCTAATCTTAAAACAATGGTTTTTATGCATAGATTCTAGAAGCTACAGCCTTCCTTAAGGAGAAACTGTCAGGGTGGAAAGACTTCCAGGTCCAATCTTATAACTGTCTCTCTCTGATATTTTGGGAGCTTTTAACTAAGAATTGCTAATAGAAATTATCATCATAAAATCCTCTCACACACACAGTTCATGGAGCCTCCAGGGGGAGAGAGATATCCTAGTGTTTGAACAGAGATTTAGATCCCTGACCCAATTAAATTCTGAGTATTTCCAGTTAGTCACTGGCATCTTTCATTTGCCCTCCCTGGTACAGAATTCACATAGACAAGTATCAATCATCAATTTTTTTAGAATCAATTAGATTTATTTTAATGAAATAACACAAGAAAATAGAAACAGCTTTTAAAAAATAATGGGAAAATCATATAGAAATATGTAGCAGCAGCAGACATTGGGTAGAGAATGTTAATCGAATAAAACCTCAATTTTCAAAAGGGTTGTGATAACCAGCAGCTTCAATCTGAATTCTTTGTTCGGGGGGGGGGGGGGGGGGCAGAAGTATGTCTCCGAAGCCAGCCTGCTATGCTGAGTCCCTTACCCCAAGACTCACACAAGAACCCTGCAGGACTTCAATTACTACCACACTCCTGCTGCTGCTGCTGCTGCTCTGGATGTAAGATGCTCCTCTGGGTTCTCTACCTTCCACTCTCTGTTGACCAGCTGGCTGGAAGCTCCTGGTACAACCAAAACCTGCCTTTTAGCTTAGCCCTGTGATAGTTCCAATCTTTCTCAAGAAGAAGAGAGAATTCTTTCTCCCTGGGGCTATAAATCCCAACATTCATAGCTGTTTCAAATCTTCTCCTCCCACCCTCTACCCCTCATTCATGGGAAAATCAATCCTAATAATACATCTGAAAACATAGTCACACTAGATTTGGGGGTCTATCTGATTTGAAACAAAAATTAGGATCTGCTCTAGGATAGATCCCAGAAGGCTGACACCAAACCGGATTCTCAGGGCTGTCCCAGTTCCACCCTATACCCTGGTCCATCTCTGGTCTCTCCAAGGTTCTTCAGACTGGCAGAGTCCAGAGCAAAAATGGTACCTTTGCTGCGGATTTTAATGGGCTTCCATGGGATGGGACCCCTTGTGCTTGTCAGACAACCATTATTCACCAGCCCCATCATATCCCATTACCAGTAAATCCAGCTTCAACCCAGAAGTCACTAATGGAAATCCATAGGCTTTAAAGATTTCTTCAACCTGATCACACACAGCCATATCCCTTAAATCTATTAGCTCTAAGACCTTGAAACTTGTCTTGGCTGGACCTGGGAAGGGATTGGAGGTCTTCACTAGGGGAAGAGAAAGTCCCAAAGTCAGAATCTACCTGTATTTAAATCATAAATGTGGAAAATCAAATAAGCTTGAAGTCCTCCCTCCCTCCCATACTTGGCTCCCCAATCTAATCTGCTCTTCTTTCACCCCAAATTCATCCCTGCCTCTTCTGGCTTGTTTTCAGGTTAAACTATGGTACCACACTCTTCCTCACTGCCCTTATTGTTACAGTTTATACCACGGTCCACCACAGCTTCTCTTCTTGCTATCCTAACCCTCCCCCCCATTCCCAAACTGGAAATATTTCCCCAATCATCAACTTCTATGCTAAATTGAGTCTTTTCTGCCAGCAGTGCCAAGGACCTCTCCCAATGCCCATTTCATTCATAACTACTCATCCTCTACAGCAGATGTGTCAAACATGAAGCCTATAGGCCTCACGAAGTCCACAACACTCCTCCTGAAATCTGATTAAAATATAATTGGGAAATATTTTTTTAAATGTGATTGGGACATATTTAACAAAATAAATAAAAATACAATAAAATGTATAATAAATACATATAAATAAATATAATAAAATACAATAAAATGTACTGTGTATTTTATGTATTTAAAACATTATTTTGAGAAAGGGGTCAGTAGGCTTTAAACAGATTGCCAAAAAGGTCCATGACACAAAAAAAGTTAAGAACTGCTGATCTTGTCCAGCCCACTCCTTTTACAGATAACAAAAGTGATCAGAGAGGTTGCAACTTCTTTAAGTTCACAAAGGTGAACAGAGCTGGGGAAGTCTTCTGATTCTAAATTAGGCATTTTCTTCCCTGCACCATACTGCTGATATTGGCTGGATCCCCAACCTCTTCATCTTTCCTAAAGGTTCCGTTTGGCTAGATCTCTCTTAGCCTGGCCAGCTAGAAAGAATGCACTTAGTCCTGCCCAGTTACAATCAGCTTGTGATTGCTACTGGCATAGCCTACCCTTCCTTCCTCCCCTACCCATATATAACCTGGTCAGAATGTGTCCCCTGTATCTA